TATCGGAAAAAAAATCACGGAAACGGTAGAACGAAACCGAAACGTAACGGGACCCACGTATATAATATCATCTCCATATACTGGTTTATAACGCGTATACCGTGAACTGGGCAATTACCCCCGCGGGAGTCAAAGTTTCACATATACGACGACGGAACACTCTGAAAACGCGCGCAAACCGGTTTATTGTTTTTGTCGGCTCGCATGTTACGTACTCACACTTTATGCACATCATCACCCGAAAGAGTTCATCTCGAAATAGCGCTAACGTTATTTTTAGACAAACACACGTAATAATTGGATCATATCCTATAGAACACACGCGCACACGAGATAGACAAAACGGACTGCAGCCGATCGTATCATTATAATAACACGACGGACGTGATGGTCGGTCTCGCGCAGTACCTGCTGGTCGGCCAGAGCGACAAGTCGAATAATAATGGTAATTATTATCGTACGGACTGGCAGCTCGTTGAGAGTTTTCCGCAGCACGAGACCGCTGCAGGTGGAGGCTACGAGAAAATTGCGGTTTGCGTTCACGAATCGACGACATGAGACGCACAATGATTATGGGTACGCCTTGTGTATTCTAGTCGTCGCGTTTATGATTCCTTGAACACACTCGATGTCTTACCCACCCATTTATCATGTATTTTTTTAAGTTTATCATAAACACAGTGTCGGTACGATACTCGTTACTCGCGTTTTATGAACGGCCGATTTCGATGGAGCCACGACGTTTCGTCTTCTTTTCCCGGAGCTTTATGCTACTACATTGTACACCTATATGTGGGTAGGTACTGCAGGCCCAAAACAAAAACTACCTGTGTAATTGTATAGGTGGGACGCTGTACCACATTATAGACGTACGTTTCGGTACACACATTTTCGAACCTTGTGCGTTGTACACGCGCACACGTGTCGATGTGTGTTCACAATATTGCTTTGTACAACGTGCGAGTGCATATTATGTTCAAGTGCGTGTGTGTGCGTGCGTGAGTGCTACCTATGCGCTATGAATTAGTGATGATTCAACTCATTACTGGAGTATACATGGTTGCACCGATGCACTGTAATGTACATGCGTCTACAGCTACTAGATGCATTGATTTTAAAACTGCCGACCGGCTACGACAATGGTCGCCGAGTGGATCCGAGTCCGTGGCTTCTGGAAATTCTGATCATTGCTACCTCCATTTTTATTACTATTATACGCCAACGGGTGCGATGTTAAACAGTCGAATTCTGCAGCAGCCCGAGTGTTACATACTCGATTGCCATACAATGCGTCACTTTACATTATAATGATGATATTATTACAGTTCTAGGTGTATCGGTATTCGCGCTCGCCAAAGTATGATGACCGTGGTAAGCTGCGGCGACGCAAGTCGACAGTAATGATACAGACACTACATGATATTACGATTATTATACGATCCGGTAAAAACTTGTTTTGATATTTTATTATTACCTGCGCACACACCCTATTTATGTACAAGTACAATAATGTGCAGTGTTAAAAATTAAAATATGAAACAAAACTATATCGCAAGAAATGGGAAAAAAGTGAAATACCGCAAACCGCAAAGTCAATGACTTTGCAGTTTTGATTTTACTTCCTGAGATGCTCAGACGATGTTGCTCTACAACACCGCAAAACGGTAAATATTAATAATAATCGTTCATTGATGTTTGTTCCACATGGCGTACCTATCTGGTGTTTGAATTCGTGCGGTTTCGTGTTTTTGATTGTCACCTATTTTAATACACAATAAATGCAGGTACCTTCATTTAACTGTAATACAAATATTAATAATTGGTTCGTCGTGTTTGTTACTACCGGACAGTAATAGTTTAAATAAATCGAATACGTGCGAGTTTAAAAATTATTGGAAGAAATAGTGACAGAATAACTAAATTAATTCTTATCTAACTTTCTGTAACAGTTTTCAAACGAAATTAAATATACCATAGTATGTTGTTGGATGGATACTGGATAGTAATTACTTATTTTTTTAGTATTGAAAAATGTCGTTTATTTGAAACTACCAAAAAACTGTTTTTTTTGTGTCTACTATTTCCATATAATAGTTTAGTTGCAACTGTAGCCTATAAATACAAAGTTGGTAAGTATAAATTATCATCTCTTAATATGTATTTCCTAGAGAATAGTTGGTCGCCTCAGCTACAAATGTTAATAGTAAAACCATTATAGAAATGTATTAAAGTTTATATTAAATTTAAAATTTAAATTCAACAATATATAAATATGGAATTATTATTTAACATTCGTTAATTTTTTTTAAAAAAAACTTTAATTTGTGTCGGACATTAACACTTCTGTGGATGCTGAAATATCAGTACATTACTAAACAAAAATAATTTCTTCAGCAACTAGACGACTTATTGTGTCTAGAGAGTTTCCAGAAATATTTTGAATATCTGTGTTTTGTCAGAAGCTTTGTTTTAATTTTTAAGAAAGTTATTGGTATTTAATTTTTTTTAAATTTTTGTTATTTATAATTATTATTAATTATTTTCTTGGTAATAAAAATAAAAATATTTTTTTTTTTGCAAAACATAGATGTCCAATGTTATTATTTATGATAATTGTTAGTACAATAAGTAATTATAATACCTTCCTGAACACCCCTCCTATCCCAAAAACGTATTCACAAATTATTGAAATATTGAGAGAGGTGTTATTATACACATCGATGTATCATGTGTAAGACAGGGAAACCAATAATTGTACTTGTGTGGTCTCTTAACTATTTACCTAGATGTTCATGCCTAACGGTTAACTTGACTTAATGATCGAGTTATACCCGAATATTATAATATTATATCATATAAAATATTAATAACCAATTATATACTTAAAATATAATTTTATTTTTATCGACCAATAAACGTTTATGTTTATATCTACTGCTACTAAAATACCGACAATAATGATACATTTTGTATACCTAATTCGGTGTTTTTATTACTTCAGTTTTTAAATGCATTCATCGCTCTGCTCAGAATCTAAAATATTAATTCTAAGCGATTGTGTTGAATACACAAAGAAAAACGCACACACGCCAAACCCAAACGGTATGTGTCCGATCATTATATTATTATTATATTTTTCACCAAACAGCGAATACTGTTGCTGCGAAGACGAGTGGGAATTAACGGGCTGAAAGTAAATAATGACGATGGCACATTTTTAACACTGGAAACATAATAATATAATGTCGGGTTGATTCCGGTGCCGTAAGAGCATTTTACTTAAATTACTCGTGATTTGGAGTGCCGGTGTATGGTTAACGATCGAATCGGATTATCTTCGCCGGGGATTTTTTTTTTATTCCGATTTTTACCTCTGGCACTAGGTCAAGTTGGAAAAACACGCGATCAATTTTAGACGGCTAATAATGGACGAAAAAAAATTCATACGGTTAAATAATTTACGCCAATAACATATTATTATTATAATACACGCGCGTGTGTTAAGCCATTGGGCATAGAGGACACCACCACAATGGAAAGTGTTCCGGAAAACGACGGCATAATCGAATTCTCATTTGCGTTTGTCATTAGCGTACATGTGGGTGACGATGTGGGCTGGCTGCCAAGTGCCAGCACAGTTATAAAACGCACATCGGTGTAGTAGGTCAACCGTATTATTAACATGTTTTATCGTTACAATTTTTCAATATTTATATTATTAATGTCGTAGCGAAAGTCACTACCTAGTACTTACTAATTGTGTTGAATATTAATACTGTAATAATAATTAATTGGTAGTACACTAGTACTACCTATATTTTTATATTCTTAAATGTAAATACTTTATAACGTAGTAGTATAATTTTATCCTACCTAATGTTATAGTTAAGTAGGTACCTACATGTACTGTAGTCAAACACTGTAATATTTTCGTAATACTACTTTTATTATTGTTATCTATTTTCCAAATGTACAAATATTGAATTCCATATTAACAATAAGTTTAGATGACATAATGGCGGAGAAACATTTTTCTAAATAAATAATTTTAAAAAAATGTTCTGCCTACCTACTTGTTATATCGTATACAAATAAACGTATTGTTAACATTTTTCATTTACTTATTTATTTTGGCGATCATTACAATTTTTGATCCTTAACCGTTATACTGCCGTGGTTCCCATAATTACATGGATCATCTTTCATCAATTTCTCAATGACAGTCATTAATTTTACAAGAAATGGGCGGGCATGCGAACAATGATTTTCTTCATTGGAGGAAATTAGGACTTTTTATACTTCTAATGATAAATCTCAAAACATTCAGATTTACCTACTATTTATTAAAACGTTATTAATATATTTTTATTCATATTAGTTTTTGTACATTCAAAATTTCAATATTTGAAATTTTCGAGTTTTTATGAAAAGATTTGGTTAAATAAAACTTAACAATTTGACATTAATTTACATTTTTAAAATTATTTAATATTAAAAGTTAAATTTAAAAGGTATAACTATCGGGCAAGGGAGGATTCAGAAACTCTGTGCGGATGAGGCACTTAAATGAAAACACTTTTACGATGCTGATTTTTAACAATTAATGAAAAGTTATATTATAATTTTTATTGTGAATAAAAGGGGCACTTGTCCCCATGCTACCCTCTGGATCCGCACCCCTGCTTTTTAGTTATGTGTTGTGACTTATGACTAAAGAAATATTCGTAAATGTATAATAATATTCAAGAAACATCAAATGTAAACATATAGTAACATAGCATAAATATTAATAGGTATGGTTAATTTATATTCTTATACGAAATAAATTTATTTTTTAAAAAATTGATAGCTCCTATATCATCATTGATGATTTTACCATTATTATTGAGGTCAATAGATGCATTTTTATTATATATTACACAATTAAAGTGATCGAGAACTAGTGAATAATACCAATTATAATGTTGTTTAATAAATATGAATGATCATAATGTACTTACAATTTCTGCCTTCACGGGCCGTCCTATGCACTTGCCGCCGTAGTATACCCGTTCCACCAATATTCACACTAAACTACTCTGATGTTTACACAATTTACGTATAATTTTAATCACTATAAATGCAGTATAATATACGTAAAATTACTTTATTACAATGCGGAATTTACAATACAAAAAGAAAAAAAAAATAATATGTACGAAAAATGTAAACCGTAGTCGGTGTACGCGGAAGCGTTGAAGTCTCGGAGACCGGATCGTCCTATAATCGTAACAGTAGTGATGACACCAGTGCACGGCGCAACATCGGTCAAGGACTGGTAAACTGCACTGCGTCCAAGATCATTGCCACCAGTTCCTTTTATAACTTCTGCCCTACCACCGGGCGCACGCTAGGCCGGTCACTTATATTCATCGTGCGGTTGGCTGTTCGTTTTCCGTCTATACTTCATTTCTTCTACTTTTTTTTTTTTCGTATCATTATAGTGCATTGAGTACTCTTGTATTCGCATTCTTTATTCGCTGTTATTATCTTCATCACTATTATCATAAAATGGATTTGTGTTTTTTTTTCTACCTATATGGGTAACGACAACAACATTTCACATCGTTTGTTTCGCCCCAGACATGTTCGTTCTAAAAAGAATATATGATTTTTTCCCTACTACACGTAGGTACCTAATAGGTACTATAAATAAATAATGAACTTTTTATATTCAAACAGAAGCTATAATAAAGCATAAAAAAATTATCAATGCGTGAGTCTCACGGGCTTTCGAGTCTCATCAACTGCAGCTAGTATTATATAAATTGTTAACCATAAATATTGTCATTTGTGATCCGTATTTATTTTACTATAACCCGGTATTCGGTAATTTCCATTATGATATTAATATTCATGAATTATGATTTATAGCTGTATATAATAATTATATTAATTGAATTACATTTTTAATTTTTCTTAACATATTGGAGTATCAACATCAAAATTCGAACGATTAGTTTTTGAGTTATTTACCTTGTGTACTTTATCGGTCTTTACAGGCAATTTTAATTTTAACATTTTAATAATTTATATTAATGTATCAAAATTTTAAATTTGTAAAAATGGTTCAAGTACCTATAATAAGTGCTAAATCCAATATTACATCTATTTTATAATTTTGTAAAATTATTTTTAATGGTTATTATTATTAGCATCAACATTTTAATAACTAAATAATTTATCTAATTTTTTTATTAAACACATATTCTCTTATATCAAAATATAAAAAAGATTATTAAGACATATAGATTAGATACATATACATTTAAAAGCATTTTACCACTTGATACTTGAAATTGAATTAGGTAATATTCGTGTTTAGGCACTTCAAAACTTGAAGACTTAAATGGCAAGTAGCAAGTGTCGAGTGTCGAGTGTAACAAATTCATAACTTTGTCCATATAAAAATGTGTTGATTTAATAAACCAACGGGGCAACCTTAATAATTACTTTTCAGCCGAAATTATATACAAACTTATGACTTCGATTAATATTTTTAAGTGATATATTTAAAGCCACCAATAAAATGTATCGATATTTTAATTATTTTCCAATTATTATTATTATTTTTTATCGAATTCAAAACTATATAGGTTATGGTACGTAACAGTACAGTTCACAAAATATACTGCTGCAATACCTATATATTTAATAATATGAATTATGAATAAGTTATGACCTTATATTTCCGGTAATGCACTGTGGCTTTTCTCTCCCGTTACAAAACTGTTACAAGTTTAGTGAATAGGAAACTTTATGAGAAAAAAAATATTCTGGTAAAACCCTCATTGAACGTTGACCATAGTATACAGTATACACGCACCCACCACAAAAATCCGTAAGAATAAAATAGTGCTGAAAAAAGAAAAACTGATACCACATAATAGTTGTGTTTTTATTCCGGAACTAGAACATGTAATCGACGATGAGCCAAGTTATTGAAAAATATATATCGATATGCAATATCGGAATACCGTGTTCCAATTCAATACGCGCCTCAATAGGTATATTTAAGGTACCTACCTATAATTGTGTGTGTGAAACAAAACCAGTTTGGAACAATTTTGAACATATATGTAAACCGAAATTGTACGTAACTTACTTGAAACTAATAAAATTTGTTTGTATATTTTATACGTGCGCGCGTGTAATAATGCAATCATTTTTTTCCCAACACAGGTTTAATAAGATTCTAAATATTGTAATACATAACTTCTGAACAAATCTCTTCCAAATGTAATATCTATATCTACAAAAAACCATTCAACCACAACCAATACATTCTAATAAGGGTAGCTATAAATTTATTTTAACAGTTGACAGTCTTACATACTTATATACACAGTTACATGACAGAGGTCAGAAGTGTGAATTAAAATTTTTTTATAATTTTATAACAAAATATAACAAATAAATATAACGACTATAATCGAATTTAAATTATGTTTGATCACCATCAATAGCGTGAATACAAAATATAAATTATACGAAGTGTTTAGTTTAAAATAATGCAATTTTAAAATACTTAATAACGTGTAGTAATGTAGGTATATTGCATAATTTGTTTATGTTCTTGAATTTCGAACGAAATGCATTATGCAGGTATACTCCACGCTGGAATATTCTGGCAGACTATATAGCCGACTACTTAAGGTATCTGTCATGCTGATTGTAAAAATAATGTGATTTTATTTGAAAAAATCAAAGCAAAGTACTATGGTTTTTTAGTAAATGGAATACAACATTCAGTCTAATGTTTTGGAACTAAAAAATCTATTATTATATAAACATTGATCGTTACAGATAATTACAATCTAATCGAGCCCATCGACCGTTCTAAGACATTAAACATGTTTATTATCATTATTTCACTGAATGGGCAACGACCTCATCAGCACTCAGCGCGAATTCAACTTCAAATTTTATTTAATTAAATTTTTCATTGAAATGTCGTAGACATTTGTTTATTGTCATAAAGCACATAGGCAATAAATTAATAAAATGTTTAAAATTTTGACACAAGCCTGAAGTATTACAAATAAAAACCATAGCATGCTAATAGCGATACATTTTTCCTCTGCATTCAAAATATTTGAATCATAATATAAATATGTTTTTGTTAACAATAAGTAACCATGAAAACAAAAACCTAACGAAAAATCGGTTAAAAACAAAAAAAATCTTGTATCCGCAGCTCAAAAACATATTTATGTTAATAATAATATATTTTATCTTATTTAGTAATGTTGTTCGTGTATCCATAATAACTGTGTAGTGTAAACAACAAAATATTTAATGTGTAAGGGATGTTGTTAAATGCGTTGGTAATTTCAAAAGTAATTTTTATAAGTTTTCATCGTGTAAAATGTTTTATTATTTAGTTCTATATATTATCATTATGTTCCAGACCGTCATTACCTAATGTTGTTTATTGCACGTGATAATGCGATTATTATACAATATATATAAATTAATTTTACTTATATATATATATCTTCAATAAGAGTTCATTGTACCTCCAAGTACCAAAATTCAATAGAAAAATATTGTCGAAAGAAATAAAAACATGACAAATTAGCATTCATCCGCAGACATGAAAATAAAAATTGAATTATTTCAAAACCCATTAAAACAGTGTGTGGTCACTTTTTTGAAGCTGATGCAACAATAATATTAAATGCAGCCAGTAATTTATTTAATAACAATTAACAATAATTTTAATAGACAAACACAATATTATATCGTATTAAATAACATTTCAGAATTCACGTAGGCTTTTATATAATGTCAACAAAAACCATGGCGCTGTTTATTATTATAATGTACCTATATACATAAATATTATGCTATTATATAATAGGTAATTATTGAAAATCCAATTTTACGCCTATTACGTCTACGTACGACAACGCAAAATTCGTCAAGTAATCTTTGTACGGAAGAAACGGGACCAATAGACGCGGTTCGTGTGTACTTATTAAATTTGATAATTGGAAGAATACGTGTTGGTACAAACTGTATGACAACAATGTATAATAATGGAAATTATATCAATAATAATAATAATAATAATAATAATAAAACGCTGCCCTTTTGTATAGTTTTCAATCGTTGTTGTGTAAAATTATTGTAAAGTAGACACGCCACTTGAGCATTGACAACTTTTCGGTATCTTGATACATTATGCATAAAGGTAGTTGTACTGCAGGGTACAGATTTACCAAGTATGCTCAGTGCTCACCCTTGGGGGTGGGTACTTTCCACTTTAATGACACATGTATTCAAATTTTATTATTTTGAATTTTTAAGTAATTACATAAAGAGACCATAACATTTTTAAATACTTAGATTTGTTATAGGTACACCGTGTGAGGAATGGACTAGGCGGCGATACAATAATAATATTATGTCATAATATGAGAAGCATAACCTATACACCACTCAAGTTTACACACTTTTTATATTTCTAGCTTTGGAATTAAAGTTACGATTCCACTGCAGATGCTTTTCCAAAATATTTCATAAATGTGAAATGTAATACAATTTAATCAGTGTTTCACTAGATATACTACTTATTTGTATGTCCCCCGTGCTACCACAATTTATTTAGGTAACGGCTAACAACGAACCAATGAGAAGGTTGACCGATAACGCCAATGTAGTGGATCCTAATTTTTAAATGTTTAAAAAATTTTTTTTCTATTTAATTGTTGTATATATATAATTACGCGTGTACATAATAATATTACTTTTACTTTTAATACACATTATGTTATATTATGGTACTTCATACACCTACCATGTGCTAATACATTATAACATGATAATACTTACTACTTAGTGTCTTAGTAGATAATATATACTGGAGAGTCGAGTGTGACATCTGATACGCGTGGACCGCATGGATTTAAATTTTAAACAAAATATTTCATAATAATTCCAAAATATTTATTATTTCTGTAGTCACCTATCAGTAGTAATAACTTGCATTATAGTATAATTATACATATGTAATGTAAATATGATTCATTTCGAGAATATAATATAAATATTTATATTATTAAAAATTTGGTTTTTAAAACTCGATTAGGTACTGCGTTTTAAACATAGGCACATATTATATTTATTTATTTGTTTATTTTTAAATTTATCTTTGTTTTTACTTTGACGACCTAGCCGCATTAACGTTACAAAAGTGTACATTATTGTAATTAGGTACATCATATTTCAGAAGGAGAAGTGATGAAAACAACAGTTGCAGTTCCATCTCCGATTCTCGATTCCACG